TAGAAAGAAGGTTTCACCTGTGAACAAAAAAGGAAGTCAAATCAAAAAAATTATAAAAAAATACAGCATCCTAATTGTACCTAAGCTATTGTAAACTGGGAGTTCTGATGCTATGCTTTGTAGGTTTGGAAACAGGAAAAACATCCTAGACTTTCCAAAGTATGCCTTCTTGTTAGGGGTAAGAAGTGTCACTATTCATTTGTATACTGGAAGATGCTGATTCATAGTGCATTGGCTACTGAATAACTAAGACGTCAGTGTTGAAAATTGTGCTCTAGATCCCATGAGATGTATCTTTTGGAGTCCACAGTATTGGAACAGATCAACAGAGAAGGCAGAAGAAGGTATTTGGGGCCATTTTCAGATGGTCTGAATTCTACCTATTTGCCTCTGCTTTGTGAAGAGACTTGGGCTCTCCTGATGACTAATTCAGAGACCCTGATAAAAATCAAAGAACAGATAAAAAATAGAATAGGGAGCAGACTGAAATTTAGGCTGTGTGTTTATGACTTCTAATCTGGAAGAATTCACAGAGTTTTAACGCCATGCATCTTAAAGCCACACGTTCTTATTATTTGGAAATGTTCTGAATTATTTTACTAATGATGATCCTTTTAAAACCATAGAGCCTTAGGGTCAGACACAGGAGGATCTACCCGAAACCCTGCTGCTCACTGTGGTGTAGTAGGTTTAAAGCCAACATATGGACTGATCTCTCGCCATGGTCTCATTCCTCTAGTGAACTCCATGGATGTGCCAGGAATCCTAACCAGATGTGTGGATGACGCAGCAGTTGTGTTAGGTATTACTTTGTCATTTGACTTTGTTTACAGCATTGTCTCAAAACAAACTGAATTCTGGGTAACTAATGTGCATTTTCCTTTTCTTCATATGTCATGTCGTATTTCAGGTTCACTTGCTGGACACGATCCTAAAGACTCTACCACAATTCAGGACAACTTTAAGCCATTTGAACTACCCAGTTTGACTGATGTCAGCAAGCTCTCAATAGGAATTCCCAAGGTAACATTTAAATCCTGTCAACAGTTGTGGACAGGAACAACAAATAGGACACCTAAAAAAAAATATTTGTGTCTTGCCCACCACCTCCCAGTCTCTCATGATTTAAAACTGTGAAGACAATACAAGCAGCTCCTGGAAAAAAGCAGTATTTGTTCTGTTGCCTTTTACGGCAATTTGGAGTAAGCATATGCTAACGTGTCATCTAAAACATTTTGTCATCATTGTGGGAAGCACTGTTGGGAACTTCAGGGGAAATGGGGAACTTCAGTTCTTGTTTCTCTCTGTTGCTCTTTCATTAGTAACCTCTGTAACCTCAAACAAGTTGCTCTTGGTGCCTTCTCACACAGTGAGGTTGGTACTGGTTTGTGCATTGCTTTGAGATACTTGTCTGAATGGCACTGTGTTAATACAAAGCAGAATTTTAAAGGCAATTGAATGGCACAAGGAGCTGTGACTTGCAGAGGATGGAAAGAGAACTGTAATCTGGCATCGGTTGTATGCAATTGAAGGATGTTTGTAACTATAGGGGTCCTTACAATTTAGGAACAATATTTGGGACTCCAGCCTATTTTTAGTTTAATAAAGGCTCTGCCTTCAAAGTGACAATGTGAATAACATCTACGGGTTTGATTCTCAGCTACTGAACCTGTGCTAGAACAGACATACCCAAAGATTTAATTAGGTAAGCAGGGATGTCCACTGACCAATTATTCAGGATCTGTGAAGTGCAAAAATTATATACTTAGAAAATTAATTAGCTGCATAGTGTTTAGATTTTGATAAATCTAATATGGTGGTATTGATTAATTATTTATAACCTTTGGACAGATGTTTTCTGCTGCTACAGATTGTCCTAAACAGATGCATGCATACATGAAACAGGAATCGTTGCTACTCAGAAATCAGACAGTACTACGCCTCTTTTTGTGGGTTAGAACTGAAGCAAAAATTGAGAATTTTAATGGAATATCTTTAACTTAGCTCTTTAACAGCAATGTAGCTTATTTAAGTCTTCTCCCAACTCCTTGATTGTAGTTACTCTTTGGTGGGGGTTGCCTGCTTTGTTTCACTGAGGCGTGTCAGTTGCCACTGATACATCGTGGCCATTATTTCTTTTTATCTTTCCTACTCACAGCAACCCTAGTTTCAGGATTTCGACCTGATGAATTTCTACTTGTGACTGCAGAGCAGTTCAGTACAGTCTCAGTGAATAGATAAATAAGGGAATAACTGGGTAATTTGTCCTTCAGGAGAAACTGCTGAAATTCCGTGATTGCGATATGTAGGTTGATCCTACCAAGATGAACATAATACTCTTAAGAAGACTGAATCCTGTTAATTTAATACTGCTTGATTGTATAATATTTAGTAGATGCAAAAAGCTTTTAATAAGTACTTTAAGTCATATTGTGGTAAGATAATGGTTTCAATTTATTTTTAGCAAGGATTATTTGCATTTTGGCCTCTACTAGAAGTAAACCAGCGTGTAAAATCACTCCCCTTCTTGTTTTTCCTCTAAGGAATATCATGTACCAGGGCTGTCTGGTGAAATTCTGGCTCTCTGGTCAAAGGCTGCTGACCTCTTTCAGAATGCAGGTGCTAAAGTGCTTGAAGTGAGTCTACCACACACTCGTTACTCAATTGTCTGCTATCACGTGCTGTGCACAGCAGAAGTGGCATCAAATATGGCCAGGTTTGATGGACTGGAATATGGTAAGACCTTTGAAAAAACTTTTTTCTGAGACAGTAGAAACATTGCTGGATGCCGTCAAAAAGTGTTAGTTTTTATAGATGTACTTTTCATGGTTCTATGCCTGGTGTTATTTCTCCACAATGGAATAGAGCAAAAAAACCTGGTCCTGATAAAAATATGTGAGCAAGTGCATATTTTAATATATTTCACTACTACTAGACATGTGAGTGGGCTCAAAATCTGGTTTAGTATTTCTCTAATAAAACAGGAACGTGTTTTGTTGTTTTTCCAGAATAGTAGCGTGTCAGACGGCAGCAAACAGTGGCCTATTGGATCACTATGTATAACATTACCTAATGTTGTTAAATCTTAAGGACTACAAGAAGTATTAATATCCAAAATGCTTTTTCTTTTCAGGACACCGTTCTGACATGAACGAGTCCACAGAAAGTATGTATGCTGCAACGCGACGAGAAGGTTTTAATGATGTTGTAAGAGGAAGAATTCTATCAGGAAACTATTTCTTGTTGAAACAGTAAGCAGAACCTCTTGAAATTCAAATTTGCCAAGTTGGCAGATTTTTAAGCAAATGGTTTATCGTGACATGGAAAAAAAATTATTCTTAACTAGTGGCTCCTTGCATTTTTATTATTGCTTTATCTATACAATATGTAGTGAACTGTTAATAATAAATGAAAATGTTTTCCCTGAGTCTTAACAGTGAGCCTCCTAAATTAAATAAGTAAAACAACTTAGTGATAATTTTTTCCCTAAAAGAGTATTATTGGCTTCCATTAGTTAAATTAAGCAAAAATCTCTACCCTGTGGTATGACATTTAAATCCTACTGAAGCCATTACTGTTGTTGTGTTAAAAGTTCTGTAGTTGTCGATCTCATTAAAACTGCACAGAAAAACTGCTAGTACATTCTAGCACGGTCTTCTAGAGAAAGCCAAAGATACGTCAATTAAATTAACTGTAGCTCTTTGCCTCAGTGTGTAGGGAAAGAGAGTCGCTGGCAGAGGTACTGAACTGATGTCTTTACAGAAGATAGGGTTTTATCCAGCTCACAAATAGAAGCTGGTCCATGGATATGTTTTACATTTTTAGCTTTCAATACTTACCAACAGGCCCAAATTGTGTTAGTAAAAGTGCTGTTTTTCTCTGTCTGAATTTGTTCAGATACTAACAAAAATATTAATCCTGTAATCAGTCTCTGTAGTGCACTTGCTTTGAAGGAGCTCTGTCAGCATGAGTATTCATCAGATGTGACTTCTTAATTGCTCTCGGAGACAGGAATGTTGTCAGTTAATCTGTAACAACCAGCTTTTATGGAATGACGATATTCCTGCCAAGGGTGCTCCTTCTGCTTACGACTGCCCAGATCAGCTTTCCTAAGGCTGCTTTAAAATTCACATAGTTAACTCTTTGGTGAAGGAATATACAATTGGCTCCCAATGAGATTGAACAGGAGAGTTGTGTACCTGTCCACAGTAAATTACTTTTGAAGAGCACAGGGTTCAGAAAGCATTCTTAGAATAAGTAGTAAGGAAAACCCATCTGTGTCTCCTGCAAATGTTGCCTTTTACAATTTATATTTATCTTGCTTTTGAAATCTTTAAAATAACTAAGTGATTGTTCAGGAAGTTCTGTTTAACATCTTTAGACATGACATGGACAAGGGGATCGAGTCCTCCCTCAGCAAGTTTGCAGACGACACCAAGCTGGGTGGGAGTGTTGGTCTGCTGGAGGGTAGGACAGCTTTGCAGAGGGATCTGGACAAACTGGATCAATGGACCAAGTCCAACTGTAAGAGGTTCAACAAGGCCGAGTGCTGGGTCCTGCCCTTGGCTCCCAACAACCCCCTGCAGTGCTACAGGCTGAGGGAAGAGTGGCTGGAAAGCTGCTTGGTGGAGAAGGACCTGGTAGTGCTGGTCAACAGCAGCTGAACATGAGCCAGCAGTGTCCCAGGTGGCCAAGAAAACCAATGGCATCCTGGCTTGTGTCAGGAATAGTGTGGCCAGCAGGACAAGGGCAGTGATTTTTCCCTTGTACTTTGCACTGGTGAGGCTGCACCACGAATCCTGTGTTCAGTTTTGGGCCTCTCACTACAATAAGGACATCGAGGTGCTGGAGTGAGTCCAGAGGAGGGCAATGGAGCTGGTGAAGGATCTGGAGCACAAGTCTTGCAAGAAGTTGAGGAGGGAGCTGGGGTTGTTTAGCCTGGAGAAAAGGAGGGACCTTATCACTCTCTCTACAACTACCTGAAAGGAGGTTGTAGCAAGGTGGGGATCAGTCTCTTCTCCAGGTAACAAGTGAAAGGACAAGAGGAGACAACCCTGTGTTGCACCAGGGGAGATCTAGATTGGATATTAGGAAAAATTTCTTCCCTAAAAGAGTTGTCAAGCATTGGAACAGGCTGCCCAGTGAAGTGGTGGAGTCACCATCCCTGGAGATATTTAAAAGATGTGTGAGTGTGGCACTTAGGGACTTTCTGAAGTTAACAGCTAGGCTGATTTCACAAATTATTGTAGAAGAAGATCTAATTCCCATGATATAACTACTTAACTTGAATCTGCTGTTTATTATTGATTATAACCATTTTCATTGCATTTTTTTCAGAATCTTAAATCTTTAGATTAACAAGTAGCATTTGGGCAGTTTAAGTTCTTTTATTTATAAACACTGTCATGTAGCAGTTGTTAACACATCCTTATCTTTTTTTTCCCCTTTTTTTCTTCCTTTTTCCTTTTTCTTCCTCTTTTTTCTTCCTTCCCCTCCTTTCTTCCCCCACTCTTTCTCCCTCTTCCCCCCCTTCCCCCCCCTTTTCCCTTCTCCCCCTTTTCCCTTCTCCCCTTTTCCCTTCTCCCCTTTTCCCT